CACACACACACACACACACACACACACACACAAATGTATATATGTCATATGTATATATCACCTATCTACCTACCCACCTACCTATTTACCCACCTACTGTATTATATGATGTCCGTACCGTGCCTGAGTGTCCTTTTGTGTTTTAAAAATTCTTTGTATACTCTTTCTATTCTGTTCTTTACTCCGACAGATGAATCCTGCTTCCGATCTATGATTTTGTGGTTAGAAGATCAAAAGATCCGCCACTACAAAATTGAAGATCGTGCAGCCTTGAGAAACATTCAAGATGGCAACTGGGACAATATTGCGCAAAATGTGAGAACTAGATGATGAAAGATATTAAAAATATCAAGATCTAGTTTGATATGTATGTGTCAAAAGGTTGATTGAGGTACTGTGAGGAAACCCAACCTCTTGGTTGATTGTTTAAAAAAACCCTGTATATACTTACATTACAAGCATAACTATTTTTTTTACGCAACTTTTTTCATTAAACACCTCAAATTTGTTTTAGGTTTCATCTAAATTCTTTTCTATAGTGATATGACATCAAGGATTTGGGGGTGAGAAAGATGAAGGGAAATCAGTAGACAGGGAGAGACAAAGAGTATGAGGAGATACAATACAGAAGTACTTGTGATATGAGGTCTCATGGCTATGTTTTGAATTTTCAATATAATGATATGTGTGTGTATTGTTCAGGAAGTTCTCTTCTATTAGTGCTTGTTCTCAGTCAAGTATCATTTGTAAGTGAGAAGTACAGTGTGTTTTTATTGTTGTAGCTCAGAGACAAAGGGTTGGTGTTAAATTAATCTTACAGTTTACATATATGTCAGATGAGATTTGCATTTACGTGTCATTCAAGATGATGTAATCCCTATTCCTTTGCCACCATGTTTTTTCTGAGCTGTAATAGTAATAACTGCCAAATGTTTATCTGTGGCTCACACTATAACCCATGTAAACAATTTGACAGTGTAGACTCTTAATTTTGTTGTTGAATTCTTTTGTTTTTAGATTGTTTTCTTTTGCATTCAGTTCTTATCACAAATCAGCTGCCCGTATGGTCTAGATGACAAGCCTGCGCTGCTAGACTGGCTTCTGGGCTATGCTGTGAGACTGGAATATGGAGATGACAGTAAGAAATTATTTTAGATATCGTTCTTAGGTGTTTGGTTTTACCCCCTCTCATGTAAGCAATATTTGAATTTATAGCTTTTTGATAAACATACGAGATTTATCTTCTGATAAAGTCCTCATAAATTAAAGCTCCCAAATTTCAAGTTTAAAAAAAATGAATTTTGTTCTTTTTATATAAATCTGAAACACTTGATTATTTTCCACCATCTCTGTTCGTACCTTGATTGAGTGTAACATATTAAATTTTATGTCTACGCTGCAGTCTAACAACAGACTTGAGGACAAATCTGATCATGCTCTGAGTGAGCTATGGTTAAGGAATGCTGTAGTTTACCCTGTAGAAAGGAAGAGCTCAGCAGTAGAGACATCATTTGCTTGTGTCTTCTTATGCTTTGATTTTTTCCTGTGTGGTGTGTGGATAGGATGACTATTTTATATATTTATGCACAGTGGCGGTGGATGGACCAAAATTTAGGCAATGCTTGAGTTGTTTCCACTTCTTTACCAACAAATAACAAGCAATAAGAACTAAACAGTGATGATTTTTCTATTCTCACGGTGAGCCACGGCATTTTGAGAACCATTCAAACGAGAAGAGTTACCTTTGTTTCCCATCTCTTTGTTCTTAGTTAAAATTCTTGTTGATGGTGGGGACGAAGCCATTTCACCTCCAAATTTCCTCTAATTATTTTTCATGTGGTGAAAAAGTTGCATTAAAAGTAGTTCAACCTGATTTATAACTGTTAAATCTCAGCGGCACAAACACAAACATGCACACACAGCGCTTCAAATATATTATTACTTTTATTAGCTGGATTAGGCCGTGTAGTCGAGAAAGTTGAACGCACACCTAACAAAGAACCAATGAGTGCATAGGTATCTGCGTCAGTGGGGGAAGTGTTTCGTAAACTTTCACCCCATCGTGAGGGCTAGGAGAGCGTGAGCCCTCAGTGCAGTGTTATTTTTTTCAGTCTTCTACTTTTTTTTACAGGAAGAGTTTCATTAAGGACGGGTCGTGGGAAGGGGCTCATCTTTTGCTGAGCCCTAAAGACATTTGATTGGCTTCTGGGTTACTATAGTTGTAAGCGGTGACAACAGTGATTGGATAAATGAGCAAGCCACCAAGTTGATCACTCTGAGTTCATTGCGTGCAGTCAAAACGGTTTCAACTGCTTATTTCATTATATGGAGAAACTGTCATTTACTTTGGGATAGAGTTGGGGGTGGTGGGTGGGGAGGGGGGAGGGGCTCAAGCCCATGAGCCCTTCACTACTCACCGCCACTGTTTATGCAATTAATGTGTTAAGTTTATATGCTATATATACATAGAATTGCTTGTAATTACTTTTATTGTCTGTACTTACTTGAAAGTTCAGTTCCGTTTAAGCTCCTTCCGTTCCAATCAGGTCTTATGGGTTTGTCCACCAAGTATTTTCCTAAAACTTGTATCTAACATGTGGTTGGAGGGTGTTGCTGGTAGGTCCTACTTCTTAACTTTCCCTCTTTTGTTTTTGTCTGTCTGTCTTACTTTTTCCTTATATTAAATTACCATTATTATGACAATGACAATCTTTATTCATCTCGCAGGGAGAAATTTGTCCTGGTTGTTTACAAGGGCAGTAGATGTTACAAAGGTTAGGTGCACTCACGCATACACACAACAGGACAGGACATTTGTAAATACACAACCCACTCTGTAAAACATTCTCTCTCTCTCTCTCTCTCTCTCTCTCTCTCTCTCTCTCTCTCTCTCTCTCATTTGTAGCACTGTGTGTTCAGTAACACACAGTATGTTGATGTGCTTCTAAGATATTTACTTCAATAAGCCAAAATTGTATTTCTCAGTAATTAGGTGAAATCAACTTTTGCTTTTGCTTTTTCAGCTGAAAAATTCAAGAAAATAACACCTGAGAAATTTCAGCAACGAAAGGCTGTAAAGGTTGGAGAGTCGACAAACCCTTTGGATGCCTTAGATTGTAAGTGTAAGGAGACGTGACTGCAAATGCTTTTGTAGACTTTGATTGAAACGAATGTGGATTTGATTACTTATAAAGAGCAAAAATATTGAGATGAATTCTTTCAAACATTATTGTACCGGTGTTCATATCTAAAGTGATTGATTTTATTGTGTTTATATCTTAAGGGATTAATTCCATCGCTTTGTTTGCTTTATATCTTAGATGGCCGTGATAGACCCGCTGTGAGGCTGCTCACTCGCAAACCACGCATATTTTTCATCTTTAATAGTTTCGTCAGTGTCTTGTTTTTTTCCAGTGAAATTGGAAATCCAGGGGAGCTGACATACAACTGGAAAAGTCAGAGAACACACATGCACACGCACACAAGTACATCATATACACTCGTTTTCCCTCTTTATCCCTTTTTCTCTCTTTCCATTTCCACTGTATCTCTCTCTCCTCTCTCTGTGTCCGTCTGTCTATCTGTCTGTCTGTCTGTCTCTGTCTTTTTATACTTGGAAGAGTGAATGTGCTTTGAAAAGTGATTTCCCATTACAAACCGACAAAGCAAAAAATTGAACATGTGATATGGACTCTGTCGCATCTGTTGTCATAGCTGTCAGTTGTGTGTTATGTGGGCCCTGAAACTACAGCAATAGAAGGTTATAAAAGAAATGTCCTTTGCGCTATTTTTTTCTTGGACAATGGCGGAAAAATTGTGCTCTGTTTCATTGCTTTCCATAGTCTGTGGGCAGGTGGCCTTAGTTCAGAAATTATTGGACAAACTTGCCTCTGTTCTAAACACACTTTTGTACTGACTTTAGGTAAGAAAATGAAGTGATGGTGGATTATACTTGAATTTTAAGATATTACTGTTCTGATCTTTTCTGAAATACTGAAGGAATTTTCTTTTTTATTGGTGTGAGGCTGAAAGATAGGTTTTTTAAAGTTGTTTTTTTGCTGGAATTGAACACTGTTTGAAACCTTGGCCTAGATTTTGGTTAATTGAAAAAATTCTGTTGCACATTGAGACTACCTGTTGAAAGTTATTGATTGGCTTTTGTGTTGTAGATGAAAAGACTTTCACAAAAAACAGCTCGCTCAAACAGTGAAGAAACTATACATATTCATATATAATAGAAATAAGTTCTATTGTCAAACTGTACTGTAATATTCAAAGTTTTACATTGAGAATTTTAGAATGGTTTTATAAGGAGGTTTTGGACTAAAGAACTGGCATGGAAAGATTTTGATATCAATTTTCTAGATCTGACTCTGAAAACTGCAGTACAACAATTTCTGTCACTGGCAATTTGATAAAAAAAAGTGCCCATTGCTCAAGAAATCAGAAGAATATAGTAAGAATAATCTGTGGTAAAGATATGGAAAATGTGCCATTGTGTCCTACGCTGCGCTGCCTCACTTTTTAAACTTTACACCTGGGATGCATAATGAGTCTCATGTTCTGTCTCCTGCAGTTGAAGACGCAGAGTTCAAGGCTGGTGTCACGTCACTGGCAATGTTGCTGCAGGTCCCTCCTCACCCAGACCATCTGGAGCAGCTCAAGGTAGGTTCAAGCAGTTTTTCCTCCTTGCTTTTTATTATTCTATTTCCCAGTAATTCCATGTTGCACAATTTTTCTATTCTAGTGAATTTAACGATTGCACTTTGTTAACTGGGATGAAGGCTCAATATATTTGTCTTATATATTTGACAGGCCATCTGCATTTTACTGAAGGAAAAGTTTTCAACAGAAGTGTTGGAAGGAGCGATCAAGAACACAGATGCCAAGGTAAATGTGTCATGATGTGGTGGAATCAGGCGCTCATCAATTTTTGGGCATGTAGAGTTATTGGTATCATTTGAAAGCTGATTCATTTGCCTTTGCTCCTATTGAAATAGATAGGCCAACTATCTATATTGAATAGAAGTCAATATATTTTCGATTGAAGGAGGTCAGGTCGCCTGGTTTCACTGGTGAAAGTAGCGAGAAAATGGCCATCAAAGTTGAGTAATTCCAATAGCTAAAGAGTCCTTGAAAAGTGAAAAAATGACATATTTTGTTCCTTTTATCAACTTTTTAAAAGCAAAATTCACATGGAAATGTGTTTTTATATGGAAATAAAAGGGGTTGATCCAAAAAATGAAAATTCAGTAAAAATTTCCAAATTAGCGGAAAAATGCCTGTTTCTCTGATTTGGTTACTTTGACGAGCGCCTGATTTCACTACACTGCCGCACAAATATTTCTTTTTTCTTTAGGAACATTTTTTTTCAGATCTTGGTACATACCAGTTGACGGATAAAAGTTTTTACTCTTTACATCTGTCTGTTTTCATATGAATCTCCCTAGCAATGATTGAAAGACGTGTCTGTTTACTTGTCTTTTTCGTATATAAACAAGAGATTAAATTCATTGGTGGTGCAGAGATGCCGCTCCTCCCGAATGTGACGGGAGACTCCTGAAAAATGAGTCAGTCTCTCGATATCCCGGCCATCGCCCCAATCTCCTGTTTTTCCGTATTTTTTCTCAATTTTGAATTCCAGCCTTGAGAAGTAATAAAAAAACCCATCAATGGTAATTGAGCCAAAGTTCAGGTAACATGTCAAGGGAAGCAACCAAAAAATTCAAATATGTAAAAGTGGACAACAGAGTTGTTTTCCTTTTTTCCCCCAGGCAATTTGAGACCTGGAATTTCAATACACATCAATTTATACAATACAATATCGATTGTCAAAAAAGGCTGGGAAAGGTGCAAGGCTGCCACTGCCAAGCAGTTTTCGCAAGCACCTTCCAATTGAAAGTGATGGGTTCTTGTAAATAGTGTATATATAACCTTCAACAATAAGTATGTGTATATTATAAGGAAGTGTTTAAAAGCAGAGATTTCATTTTTATAGCCTTGTGACCATGACCTTCCTATTCATTGTTGCTGAGAAATGAAAGACTTACTAGTAGGCCTACATTGTACTTTTACTAGATCTACCTGAGTGATTACAGTCATAAAAATCAACTGCTACATGTATGATGACCCACTGGTAAATTGTGTTAATAATTCAGCTTAAATCTTAAAAGATAGATCTAGAGCTTTAGATAATATTGGTAATTAGAATTTAATGCATTATAATCTCCTTTTTTGTTAAAATATTTGCGAAACCACATGATTTTGAAATCTCCCTATTTTTTTTCATTTTCCCTAAAAAGTATGGCTCATCTCCCTAAAATCTATCCTGGCAGGTTTGCGTCTCTGGTGGTGTACTGTACGCTGTGTATGAAGATCTGCTGACATTCTGTTCATGAACAAGTTGTCTATGAATGACATATTTCAGTACCCTTTAATCTTCTAAATTGTCAGGTTTGACGATTTTATACCGTTTTGTCTCTTAGGTAACCGTTAACTCTTGATAAAGAGTATTGTCCCGATTGTCTCACCTTTTTGTCCTTTGAATTTTTAGGAGATTTGTTGTTTAATTTATTGTTATAGCTTTGGGTCTACAGTAGACTTTTATGACACCTAGTGCTTTTTTTCCCTTTCAGGATGAGCATATACCTTTAGACAGAACTGAACTGGGATTTGAAGCTGGAGGTAAATAACTGTTTCACTCACTTTGACTTTTGTTTTTCTTTATCTCTGTTTTAGAGCAGTAAAGATATTGTGCACTATTTTATTCTTTTGTAATACATTCATTTTTCTCTGCTTTTAGAGTGTTACACAATTTTTTGGTCGAAATGGTCCCGGAAATATTATGTGACATTACAGTTTTAACTTTTTTTGTGTTAATCCTAAGATATCGTAGTTATCCTTTGCTATGCTCGTGCCATTCCACAATGTACAGTTGTTTTAATGTCTCTTTCCTTTCTTCATCATTATTGTAAAACATTTTAATGCTAGCTATTGGTGATGGTTCTTGAACAATTTGGTTGGAAACAGGCATCAGTTTTGATTTGTTGGATAAGATAAAGCAAGTTTGTGATGGTTTTCTCTCAACACCGCATACAATGTTCAACACACTGGCTTGGCACAAGTGCACTGTGGCATGGAAAGAGTAAACCGTTTAGCTCTGCTGTGTCATCCTTCTTTAATAGCAAAGGGAAGATAATAATGAATACACCACCCCCTTCTTGACAAAAGTGTATGGTATTGCCTTTGCTTTCTATTTTTCTTTCCTAGGTCTACTTTCATCTCATCACTGATGCTCATTTCCAGCTAAATTTATGGTGGTAATTATTACAACGGTGCCAATACCTTCTTTTGGCAAGACACAGCTTTGTATTTACTTTAGTGTATAGTATTGCCGTTTCCTTCTATTTTTCTTACTTTCTTAGGTCTACTTTCATCTCATCACTGGGGCAATTACTTTTCTTTTGAAACTGCTTTAGTCCAGTAGGATGTGCACTATTTCTTTATTTGTTGTGGAGGTTATGGTCCAGAATATTCTACGATAAGGGAAACTCCACAAAGTAGGACTGGTATATTTTTTATCTACTTTCGACCTTCGAAAAACCATCACCACTCCTATAACCCATCTCCCACTCCCTTTGGTATCTAAAAAATTAGACACTGTATTTGTTAATAATTTTTCCAAAAATATATTTTCGAATGGATTTTTGTGAACAGGTTTTTCTTTTCCTCTCTTAGATTACATCATGACTGAAGCTGCCAAGATCTTGAGGCTTCTCCACATCCGTGACTTGAGGGACCTCCAGAACAAGATCAACGCAGCTATCGTGGCTGTCCAGGCCATCACAGCGAATCCAAAGACTGACAGCCGGCTGGGGAAAGTGGGTCGGTAGTCGATGAACAAAGCGTGGTACTGTACGAGTTGTTGCTAAAGTTTGGACACATGGGAAATGACAATAACAAATTAAATTTTTTTTTTTTTTTTACCTCACGCACACGTAGAGATACAGAGACACAGATGCACAGACACAGACACACACACACACACACACACACACCACAGCGGTTATGGAGCGCCCATTTAGTTTCGGCTGGCGCGAGGCAAGCAAGCCGGCGCTTCCCCAGGTCACGGGGTCATTTACCTGCGCCGCCGGGGATTTCCCTAATCAGCCGAACACCGGCAGCGCTCTTGTATTTTTTGCAAAGTTTACCAGCGCAGTGAGCCAAAGCTAATGTAAGATGAATATTTTAATAAAGACCACGTAAATATTCAACATATTAAGGAAGAAAATGAAGAAATCGGAAGAACATGGTACATTACACTTAAAAGCTGTGAAGTTCTCAAAAAGGGGACTTAATTTGATAAATGTGTCATGGGTAATCAATTATAAACATCGATTTAAATATGCTTGCCCCCAACGAATTCAATCAAATTTGCACACAGGACTGAGAACATAATGAAATTTGTACTGACAAAGGGGCATATGCACGAAGTTTCTGGATCCGTAATTATTCAGGTTTGAAGTTGATGTTTGCAATACTCTTGCTTTGCGACCTTGTTTTTTCACAGCGATATCCACGATACATGTAACTACAGAACAGATCTTTTCTTGCCGATACACTTATGAAAACACAACCTAAACACAAAATACAAAAAGAACACAATAATGCTGGACTGGAGGAATTATCTCATTTTTCCGCTGTAAGCTTTCGTCTTTTGATGGGTGGTGCACACGACAGAGTAGCTCAGGGTGGGTTGGACGTGTTGTGACTGCATGATTGTTTTGACGTGTTTTTCTTTGTCTGTTAGGCCACGGTTGCATGAATGAGCTCACCCCCTTGCTCACAATGGAAGGCCATTCCAAACCCACATTTTTGTATCCAAGGAACGCAGTGTTTCTCAAGGATGTGTTGTTTGGGGATGACCTTTTCTTTTGATCGATTTTGATTGAGTAGCACGTGTGGTTACGGCACTATCGACTCAAGACCTTTTATTTGCCAAATATGTTTCTGTATAAAGACATATATCGTGTGATGCATGACTGAATATGTGGTATTCTCTCTAAAGTGATTGGCTTTCCATGTGCAATTACTGTGTGGATATCTTTGAAGGTGTCTTTTTTTACGTGAACAAATTTCTCTCTCAGAACAATTAATGCGGTGTCTATTATGCTTTGATTTCGTGTACATGCAACTGTTCCTTTTGCTAAAAATGATGCTAGCTGTCTGTACACATGGGCTGTGATGTATTTATGGCAGTGGCTTCCTATAAATGAACGGCTGTGGTAGGCCTGTGGTGTGATGTTGTGTTGTTTGAGGATGTTATCAAATTCAGAGCAGGCAGGACTTGACCTTGGAATAAGCTCCTCAAACTCTAACTCTGACAGCTGATCATGTACACTAGAACCCTTCCTCTCAAATCTTTCTGCTTCTCGTGGATTATCCGACAAAATCTTACAGCCCTGTAACAATTGAATGTCCTCCTCGTTTTTTTCCAGCCCCCTTTCATTTTTTGCCGTAGATATGCACATTTTGACCTATTCCAGGCGTGCAATTCTCCATAGATTGATGGACCAGCTGTACATCTATATCATGTGCCAGCTGTACATCTATATCATGGACCAGCTGTACATCTATATCATGTGCAGCCTCCTCAAGAAGGCGATGATGTTTGAGCACAATGCCCCCCCTATGATCACGTTGAGTGTGGCTCTCCATGACAAAAATATTGTTAAAAATGACAACGAAATTCAGATGTAGTAGAGGCAAAAAAACTAAAAACAGCAAGGATGAATGTTCAGAGTGGTGGGTTGGTATTTTTAAAAAATCACAGAAAATCATAGAATAACTTCGTGCATTTGAAACTTGCACATGTAAATGAAAATTGTCACCACAGTTGATACATGAATTTCTGTTTAAATCGTTGGGGGCCGGATTGAAATATCTAAATCCAAACTGAAAAAGTTCTAAACATTGAAGATGATAGTTTGAAAATCACAGACTTACTTAAATCCCTTGTAAAACTGATATAATCGGACTTACAAGAAAACAAGTTATACCGGCCTACAGGTCAAACATAGCACGTTACAATGAAATCTCAATCGGCCTTGTAGCATTTATAGTTTCAGAGTTAGGAGGCTTTCAATTCGCACTAAAACGCCATATTTACTACTGCCCCGGCACAGGAGGAGTGGCGCTGCGGTCACCCCAATTAACCCCTCTGACAAGTGATTTATGACTACGCGCTGGGCTGTCGGGCGGGGCGGGCAGGGTGGTGAGGATGGTCGGGGAGGAACCGGGGAAGGAAAACTAAGTGAGCGGTCTGGACGGTATTTTATCCGCTGTGACACAAACACAATCACAGACACACACACACACACACACACACACACACACACAAACACAATCACAGATATAGACTCACTCAAACACACCCACCCACACATTCACACAGACATACACACTCATACAGACACTCACACTTACACTCACACACACTTACACAAACACACACACAAACGAACACACATACATATGCACACACACACACACCTACACACACACACACACACACACACACACACACACACACACACACACACACACTCACACTCACACTCACACTCACACCCACACACGCACACACACACACACACAAGGGCAGAAGGCGACACACATTTGCCTACACAAACTCACGCACACGGATACAAATGCACACAAAAACACACACATTTATACAAACACAAACACACATATACGCAGTGGATGGTTGACAGGAGCTCTAGTGTGGTTTGCTCATCCTTATCTCTCCTGCTTTTCCATTTATGTTACTCTCTAGTGACACCTTTAATCTTTGGCACTTATATAACCTATTTGTGTTACAAGTGCTGTAAAACTTTTAATATAACTAAACGAAACATATTCACAAAAATTTCTCCACAAACACAAATAAATGCTCAGTTTTCCTCTGTCTCGAAACTTTAGGACTCGAATACTTCAGGTGCATCCAGCTCTTCTAGAATAACCTTTTCTTAAAAAAAATTTCAATGCCTTTTAGCTTTATTTCACAATATTGAAGTACAATATTTAAGTTTGTCTCAAAAGTCCTAATTTGTTATGGTTATTTAGGTAAATGTAATTTTAAAAACAAAAAGAATTGTTTCTTTGTTGCTTTGTTCACTCGTAGACTAATCCTTTTTAAAAGATATCTTCTCATAAATCATCAGCATCATTCCTCAAGCGCCAAAGTCATTTTTTTTAGTGTTCAAATTAGCACCGTGACATGGGCACTCATTATTTTTCTTTTAAAGACTGGGAAGGAAATAACAAAACAGAATGAAACTTTTTTTGTAAGATGTCCCTGGATGTCTTTTTTTGAACTACGGTTTTATCTGGTAAAATCTAGAAATTGTTTAGGGTGACTGTGGACTGTGCTGACGATATGCAGCATTCCTGGAAAAATTAAATTACTTAATTCCTTGAAAGATTTGATCAGATATATTCTGCATCCACAGATAGGAGAATGTTCACCTCTTGTAAAAATATGTCTGTGTGGAACATTTTCTTAATTTTGTTGTAGTTGTCTGTCCACATTTAGGTATCTAGTGTGCAATATCGTCTATGTTTTTAATAGTTGTTTTCCAGAGAGAGAAAGGCTTCTTCAGCTTTCAAAATTGAATTCAAAGCTGAAACTTACTTAACCAATGACAATGGTTGTGATGTGTAAAAGCTGTTACAAAAATGGCTTACTGGTGGTCTTACCATTGCTGTCAGGGTCCCGCATTGTTTTGTCTTAGGTGAGAATGGGAGCTCTTTTTGTCCTTCATGTTTTATCATTGTTTGATTTGATTGAGGACTGGCTGAAACACAGCCCCTCCCCCCCCCCCCCCCCCTTCTCTCATCTCCCTACCCCCTCCTGAAGAAGATTTAACTTAGTTTATTAAATGTTTGAGGCAAATTGAGCACTTGATGTGAATAGTACCTGTCGTTTTTTTCCACCCCACGAACAGTTCAGAGTGTCTTTCTGGTGGTAAGACCAGATATAAGGGACTAAGTGTCTCATCCTTGGTCTGAATCTTGAGTACATGGTTCTTGTTTACTTGTTAGTATTTCCGTAATCTGTGTTCATGAATCCACAAAGCGAATTATGACAAACAGAAACACGTTGTATATGCAAATATTTTAATGCCAATAAAATAATATGAACAAAATAACACCATTGTTTTGTTTTTTTGTGTGTGCAAATAGTGTATTTTCCATCATCATAATCACAAAATGCCACTGTTACTTACAAGCTTTCAGTCACTCAAACCAATACGACTGATACAAACATGCACAAATAGTTTCAGTCATCAAAGCTCTCTTCCTGTCATTCACAGTAAGTTCTCTCTAATTTTCTTTTATTATGTAAATCTGTTCTCATTTTTAACATGACAATGTCTGTGCTACCCTGGCGTAGCTAGAATCAATGGACATGAGTTTCCTTTCACTTATCGAGTCTCATAAACAAATAGCAGAACTCCAGATTCTCAGTGATGATACATTCCTGTAACTTTATGTTTCAATGATGTACATATAAATTGGTCCTACGGAGACTTGTTGTCACTGTCAGTTATTTTTTTACATCAAAATGAAATAATATAAAATTAATTATAACTCCACGTCAGGAGTGTCCGAACTATGGCCAACGAACATTGATGAATAATGGCCCCTTTTGACCAGTTCAAGCTGTTCAATACCCGTTTGAAACATCTTACTTATTTATGCGAATGTGTCATTTCATCACATGAATATGGTATCTTTTCTTCAATGTGGTATTCAAATGTATTATTGTTCAAGGCCCAAATGTAACATTAATTCTATTCCATTTTATCCCTTGTGTGTTTCCTCATATTCCTTTCTTGGGCACCTCATAATAGTCACACTGTAACTTAAGAAGAGGCAATTGTACTTGAAAGGTTAAAAAAATTCTCAGGTGATAGTTCTCCTTATAATTCCCCTAACTTGTTACAGGTCAATCATTTTATTGCAGTTAATCAGATCGTAATATTTAGGGACAAGATTAAATTTTGGCAAGGTAGCCAGTGAGATGAAAATGAAAGAGCAGAGTTATGAAAGAAAGAAACAATTCAGGTTTTAAACTTCTTGAGCAGACAGTACACAGAAACTTGGGAAGACCCAGTCACTCACATGGGAATGGGAAAAGAGTAAGAGATGAAGAGATGCTCCGTATATTGAATCATTCACTTGGGTGTCTATTTTCTGCCTCTGAGTTTCAAATCAATGATGATGACAAATGGGCCTACATAAAACTAGATCTACCCATTTATGCTCTTAAAACATGAGCAGAGGTAGAAGAGAAAAAAATTAACTGCCTTTACTGTATGAGCTACAAACAACAACTGAAGGTGAAAATGAAAAGTTTTGTTTTAACTTAACTGGGTCAGATAGGGTTGGTCTGTTTGATTTCTGCTTATTAATTGAACACATTTCATTAAAAAAAATTATGTGTTTAAAATGGTCATTGAAATAAAAAAAAGTTCATGGGATTCATCGAGTGTCCCTGATAGGCCTACAATTCTTTCGCAAAGAAAAATTTAAGAAGTGATGAAAAAACTCACAGAGAATAGGGTGAAATGGATCTTCTGAACATTTTTATTTTCATTTATGTATTTGAAGATAAATGTAGACCTGATGTAGAAAGCAGATTGAAAAAAAACTTATCCTAAAGTAGAAAATTTTAACCCGTTAATGTTAGAAAATAAAACTCCACAGCTGTTAAACATCAGTCTAGAGAAAACTCCAATCTGGCCCATCGTTTTCCTGTTGGGGAATTTTCTTTTGCACAACTCCTTATAGTAGATTTATCTCCATGAACTTTTAAGTAGTTGACTTTTAGAGAGATATAAAGAATTTGGACACCATAGCCTGCTTGAGCTTTAATTCTAACCTCAGGATTTTCATTTGTACTTCAACACACACCTCACTCATATGGCACTCATAATTATCATAGCATCCCTCTTTCATACCAATATACACAGCTTGTAATTATTTTCATCATGCATTGTCAACTGAAATTAAATCTTTTTTTTTATTGCAAAACAACCAGATATAGCACAGGAGCATATTTAGTCGCAACTTAGAAAAAGATTTTTGTAAACTAAGACAATTGTTGAAGCAGATAAAAAAGTGACCACGCTTTTAATTTGGCCTACAACATGTCATCGATATGAGAATGAAGCTCAAGTCTACTCGCTCATACACTTTTTCATAACACCTTATTTGTACAATGACAATTGTAATGAAAAATTCACATTCATAGATGAATATTCATTGCTACTCCTGTGAGAGACTAAAGAAATGGCATTCAACAAAGATATTTACAGATTAATTACACAAATACTCGTGATATTTGCTAAAATAATGCTAAGGGTTAATGCATTGAGTCTGTAGAATTATTTGAATGTGATGTTAACTTTAAATAAAAATATCAATGTTCAATGAGTAATTATTATGCGAACTGAAGAGTCCATAGTATTGCAGCTTTACATGTACACGAAATACACTTTGCTTGCAATGACAAATACTGTACCATGAGGTTCAATGATAAATGAGACTGCAAGTCTTGGATGAGTTTGTGGTGAGACAAATGATCCCATACGCTACATGTACTTGAGAAGTTTGAGAAGCTGAATTTGATGTTCCCATTAGACTCTAACTCTGAGGGTTTATAACATCTTCTGGGTGTCAGTTTTATGGAGTGGGACTTGGGTGGCTTGAGGGTAACACTTGTAGGTCCTACTTCTTTATCTTCCCTCTGTTATTTCTCTCTCTATGCCCACTCCTTCTCAGCTCAAAGTGACTGTTAATAAAGTGTTGATTTGCTTCTCTTTACTCAAACTCAAACACAGTTGAAAAGGATGTGCTAATCCCAGATGAAATCGACCAATAATTACATAATAATAAATGTAGCCTACACATATCCTCCAGTATGTGCACATAAATAGATGTATCACAATAATTGAACAAAAAAGCCAATTTTTTCAACAATTTTGACCCCAACAGTCTTTTTCAGCTGACATCTGGGACTGGAGTAAAGAGCCCTACATGTCTTGTGGAGTTGTTTCCTGCCACATACTTTGTACGTGAACATCTATAACAAATGTCTATCTCCAATTTAAGGAGGATTTTTGCAAAGACAAAAAACAACCACTGTAGCTAAATCAGTAAACTGAACCTTTTTAATCGCAGAGCTCCTTGTTATTTTTTTGTCAGAACGTGGTAGACAGTTGAAAGTAACATTCCTTGTAATAATTTAATAAGTAAAAGGAAAAGTAACTAAAAGTATGGGTGGAGACATGGTTGAAATGACCATTCTATGAAAATATACTTCACATGGGGAACACGGTTTTGACAATACTGTACAAAAAAAAAAGTTTTCAGATGCGGTAGTCCGTCACATGATGGAACCATGGCAGTAGATGTCTGTTTCAGATTCGGCACTTGAAAAAGTAGAAGTCCGTCTACGTGTTATGAGCTCCATTTTGTATCGTGTCTGAGCAATAACTAAAGGCATGCTCAGCAAGTACCATAAAGAAATGCGCGTTAATTCCAGAAATATACCAGTGTTGTGGTATAGGTGCTTTGAAAACCTATGCAGAAGATGTGAGTTCTTTTCTCATGTAGGAAGAATTTTTATCGAGTATCCCCGTTTTTCTGCAGGGCTGGCTCTGATAGACATGATTAACAGCCCCCCCCCCCCTGAACGACCTAAACCATGTCTATGGAGACGTAAAATAACTTTAATTGCAATTTCAATAAGCCAAGTACTAGGGGTATGATTATAATTACTTGCTTTTTTACTGTCTTGTCTAAAAATGTAGCTGATGGGTGTCTAGAAGAAGACGAAGAAAATAAAGTTGAGAACTACAACCACAATGATTATTAAAAAGCATGTCATGGTGGTAAACAGCACAATGGGTACACAAGATGCTTCTAGAACTTACTAAAAGCAGAAAGCTATAGGCTATGTAGACACTGTCAGGGTACAGCAGAGGGTGATTTCTTACATGTACATGTACAAAAACACTGGAACAAGTACAAGACTCTCACAGGGCGTCTTTACTGTGTAACTATTGGACATTGCGAGCGTGAAGAAGTACATGTATTATGCACGAGTGAGCGTCATTCTTCATAATACCGTTGCTGAATTTATGTACAATAATCCAGAGCGCTGAATGATCCTTTCTCTCTGTCTCTCTCTGTCTCTCTCTGTCTCTCTCTCTCTTGTCTCTCAGACTCACTCTCTCTGTCTCATCATACTCTCTCTATTTTTCATGTTCTCTCTCTCTCTCTCTCTCTCTCTCTCTCTCTCTCTCTCTCTCTCTCTCTCTCTCTCTCTCTCTCACTTTCACCCCTCTCTCACTTTCACCCCTCTCCCTCTCCCTCTCCCTCTTTCTCTCACCTTTGCACAAATATAATATAGTGACAATATGCATATGCAAGTAGAAAAAAAGCAAATGTACATTTGTTGCACTTTCTTTTTCTTTATTTACCCCACCTGTCAACATCAGCATGCACACACACACACACACACACACACACACACACACACACACACACACACACACACACACACACACACACACACACACACACACACACACACACACACACACACACCACTCATGCACAAACACACACATTGTCTCTCACTAATATGAACACATACACACACATGCACAAAAACGCAGGCAATACAACGCTTTCTACTTTCATTCTTTTTCACCATGCAGTCTTAGTCCAAATCATAAGTGAAAATAACTTATGTACATACTGACATGCTCAGAGAGTGGGTAAATTATTCTCTTAACTATCCACTGTTGTTATAATGATGATACTGATGATGGTGACGATGATGATGATGATGATGATGATGATGATAGTGATTATGACGATGATGATATACAAATAACAATAAAATGATAATAAAAATAAAAACAACAATGACAATAATAATAATAATAGTAATAATAGTAATAATAATAGTAACAATAACAATAATAACTATAATCAGCACACAAATGGTACCAGTGACACTATTAACAACAATCATTGAGGCCAATGCATCCTCCTGTACTGTAACAAAATATTTGCGTTGTTCAAATCTTTAGCTAAAGTGAATGTTCAAGAACACATTACAATCATTCTAGCATGGTATTCTCTTTCTTAACTTTCTATGAGCCATTGGACATCAAAGTGTCAAGAGTGGTTGTTGCATTCACTTGTCAGGCATTTGTTGTGTGTTTGGTCACATGTGAGATTTTGTTTGTAAATTGTAAAAGACAATGTTCCCTCAAAAGTGCAAGTTGTAGATCTGTTCAATTGTTTTATTTTATACGTTTTAAATTTTAAAAGATAAAGTTTCCTAAAAACTAAAAAAAAATCACTTTATTGTTTACAAATTATAATGACCAGATTTCCTCTGATCTAAAGTTAGTTGAAGTGGTATTTCATTTCTCCGCATTTAGCAAAATCTACAAAATGAACAAAAGAATTCAAATTTGAAGCTCTGAAAAAGTAGCTTGACTTATTGGCTCCTGAAAGGAACAAACGAATTAGAACTGAGGGTTGAATAGACGTACAAACCTTGCAAAGTTTAAAAAAAATATAGTTAAGACCAGGACAGAAGCAGATTCTCTTGACAATTCCTTCAAAAGAATATAAGGTCGTTAAGGAACACCCGAAGCTTTGTAAGCTAGGGGCAAGAAATAAAAGGGGGGAATGAGAAGAAACTGAACTGGTAGGGTCACAACTTACACTGCAGCATTATCCTGCAGCGTACTCGTAATTTGACAACATGCGGGGCACTAATTCAAGGAAACATTTCATGTCAAAATATAGAAGCAAAAGGGTTTTATACACAGCGGGGTTCAAACTACACGTATTATACTTCACGGAGACTTCTGATATACAGCGGACACTTAAAGCTGAAAACCACAGGCAGCAGACTTCAGCTAGTCTCGTTAGAAGATGGGCCCATATTTACAAAAGTATTTAATATCTTAAAAATATTTCCACTAACACACACAAATCTCACTTTTCTTTGAAACACATAGGACAAACAAAACCACATTACCGAAATGAAGTATGGAGAATTTTTCACTATTCAATTGTTCACTCACGTCTCATAAAAGCACTAAAATACAAAGAGAATTCAGCAATGCATGTATTGTGTTTGTCTGCAACCAAATATCGTGTTGTAATGTTCCAATATATTAATATTGTAAAACATGCAGAATCTGAGAGTGATAACAGTACACATCATCCTCGTATGGTCATCTCAGTGAATCACACACACACACACACAATGGTACTTGAAATTCTGGATTGCATCATTGCTGCCAGGTTCACGATTTGGCTAAAATTTCATAGAGAAGATCAACAGCTTGAATTATATCTGTTCATTGTCTTTGTGTACAGGAGCATTCAGAACTTGTCAAGCAGCTGTTGTCAGAAAAATGTAGAAATGCATCACGTTCTTGTCAACGCCTGGTGCTGTCCGTTGGTATGAACACCCTTACTATTAGGTTCAAATATCTTTCTCCTCTGTCTTTGCTAGTCACTCTTCCACCAGCTCTGACAGAACCCAGTGAGACAATAATATTATCGTCTCGCCATGTGCGGCACACACAAGAGAAACCACATGGGTTTCCACTTCCTATTGTAATAAAAATAACATTCCACAACAGTTGAGAGTAAAAGTAAAGTTTTGCCCCCCTTTCCCCACGCATCAGCTTGATCATTGAGTGCTATTTCCTTTTCTTGGGAGACGAAACTGTTAACACCCACCCTCTCCCCTTTCCGGTGACTACTGATGTTGCTCATGAGGTCAAGCAGTTCGAAATGGGAGGCCCAACTTTACTTTTACTGACGCAGGCCATTTCGTGCTCTGTGTAGAAAAGTAGTGTATCAAGCGGCTCCCACGGTGCAGGCAGAAGACTGATTTCCCACACATAGGCGTTCCATCTAGATGAATGTGGTCCAACATAAAGACTTATTCAAAGTTGTCAAACACGACAAAACAAATGTACATGTACAAATTTTACCCTCTGTCAAGTTCTTCTGGTCTGTAGTAGAATCAGAAAATTCGTTATGCCGACTAATTGTCTCATTGCATTACTGAGTCTCAGAAAGTGGGGTTCTCATTCCACCTTCGTATTGTCTCATTGTGTACATTTTCAAACACAATCGCCGTTTGTCAAGAGGTGCCCAAGCGTCACCACAAGGTCAGAGAAGGTGGGGCGGCTGGATGGGAGAACTGCGCAACACTGACGAACGATGTCTACCATGTGACTCGGGCACTGCTCAGCAAAGTCCAGACGCGGTAGCGAAGACGACGACACGCTTGTGCCAGCCAGCGAGCTTCCACCAGTTTGTGACACGTTCAAACCGCTTGCGTTTGAAACAGCACCGCTAGCTCCGCTCCCAGCAGCAGCGCCAGTTCCTGTTCCGCCACAGAGGGATTTGAAGACTTCGTCGTCGGTGAGCAGACGGTAGGGCAAGTCGCACAGATGGAACACCTCCCACATGAAGATGCCGTAAGACCAGATGTCCGTTTGGAAGCTGAAATCCGCGTCTCTCACGGCCTCTGGGGGCAGCCAGCGGAGAGGGAGGGGAGTCTGGCGGGTCGGGTGAAGGTAGTACTCGTTGGCGTACACGTCACGACACAGCGTCAGGCTGCAAACCTGGTGGCGGGAGGAAGGGGGGGGGGGTGTTTGTTTATGTTAAAGATTAAGTCTCGAAGGGTTTTTTGTGATTATGAGTGTGACAATAAATAGACAGGTTCAGCTAGATTTATTATCCGATTTTGAACAGAGAGCGGGTCAAAACGACCCAAGAGGATAATGGCAGTTTCTTTTGACATAAGGGAGTAACAGGAAAGATATAGTATATTATTAAAACTTTTTTCAGACACGTAATGATTTGTAGTGAACTTTCTCTGACTTCTTGTTATCTTTCTTTCTTCTTCCTTGCTCTAACCACTGGACCTGGTGATCTGCCTTCGAAATTATTTTTTTTGAGTGCATTTTCTGCCTAGTGGGTCTCAATCTCAAGACAGAGTGGTTGGAAGGTGTCATTGGCAGGTCCTACTTTTTCTTTCAATCTGTTTGTCTTATTATCTTCTCACACAAAGTCGCGTTACTCTGAAGGCACGCTTTTGTTTATTCTAACAAGCAAACAGTTTAGTCTCCAACAAAATTAAATGCCCTACCTTGAGGTCAAGCCTGGAGGTCAAGAGCACGTTCCTGGCGGCCAAGTCTCGGTGGATGAACTTGTAGCCGGACAGATACTCCATAGCCAGGGCCACTTGTTGACACAGCTTGAGCTTCTGTATGGAGGTGAGGGGCGGCACGCGGGGGACCATCACACGGCGGCCGTTGTCGCTCCTGGTCGCCAACAGGAACTGCTTCAGGTCACCCTGGGACAAAAGAGTTTTAGTTTAGTTTTTGTAGATGTTTTACGGCGTTCGCAACTGCTTAAGGTTATATGAGTGCCACAAGATTAGAGGTGTTACAAGGGAATAACAAACATAAAAAAGAAGAAGGGTAGATAAAGACGATAGATGTTTCACAGGAAAGAAGAAGCAAACCACACCAGAGCACCCGCCAACCACCCACTGGACGAAAAAAGATGGGTAGATTGGGTGAATGTTTCTTTAATACTCTTATCGACAAAATTTAGATAGACACGAGTTGCCTGGACACATGTCTGTCACTGCCAGGAACAATCCCAGCTGAGTGGGTACAGCACCCAAATAACCCAAGAAGACGGACTTAGATACTCAATTTAAAAAGAAACCCTTAAAAACCCAACAACCCCCCCCCAACCCCCCCCCCCCAAAAACAACAACCCCACCAACAAAAACAAAAACAAAAATAACTAAAAACAAGACAAAACAGAGACAAAAAAACAACAACAAACAAACAACAAAGAACAAAAAGAAGAAAAAAAATAACAACCCCCCCCAAAACCAACAACCCAACCCTCTGCGACCCAGGAATCGGAACTCATGTCTTTTGAGTGTGCCAAAAAAAAAAAAAATAAAATAAAAAAAGTAAGAGCGTAATCCTACACGACATATTCCCGGTAGATTGAAAAAAGTTAAGATTTTTCCTACTCATCTCTGTACAACATTTCATGATGATGGAAATATTTCAGGTCTCCCAACATCGTTTCCTCAAATGTAGACACACCTCCACAATGTTATCATGATCAATGACTTAGCCTCGCCCGATGTCAAAATGCTCAAATGTCCAAATGTCAAGATGATAATGATCAATACTTTTTCCCGCCTAAATATAAACATGATCAGTACCTTAGCCCTGCCCAAATGTCATCACGATCAATACATTATCTTAGATATATCCAAATGTCATCATGATCAATATCTAAGCCCGAGCCCAAATGTCGCCCATGATCAATATCTCTATAATACATGTATCATTGTTCTTAGCCCCACTCCTTAGACGCACAGGTGGGTGGCAGGTGATCTGGTGTAGATTGCTCCATCTTTACTATCAAACATCTATCGGTCCCTATCCCTCCTGCTTATTTTTTGTGCTTGTTACTCTCTTGTAACACCTCTAATCTTCGGCACTTGTATGACCTAATTGTGCTGTAATTAAGTGCCTTAAAACGCTTACTAAAACTAAAACTTCTGAGACTGAAGAGTTCACTCACCCAATCACAATACTCGGTGATCATAAAGTACGGCTCCATCTCCCGACACACGCCCAGGAGACGTACGACATTCGGGTGGTCCAGTTTGCCATACATGTCCATCTCGTTGTGGAACTCCACGCTCGCCGCGTCCCCCTTGACCAACAGAGACTTGACCACCACCAACGTCTCCTGTTCGATGGGTCTGATAGACCGAGCCTTAGCCAGAAACACGTCACCAAATTGTCCTTTCCCTGGGGAGTTCAAGTGAAAAAAAAGTGTTAAGATGTGAAACTTACTGGGTCTGGGCTATAGACTGGGATAAGAGCACAAAATGTCTATCTAAAAAGCTGAGAGTATTCACAGATTGGGATAAGAACACAAAGTGTCATATTCTAAAATGCTGATAGGGTCTTCATAGACTGGAATAAGGGCACAGAAAGGTCGTATCTAAAACTAAAGTGCCGAAGGTCTTCACAGACTGTGATAGAATCAGAAAAGGTCGTGTCTAAAATGTTGAGAGTTTTCACAGAGTGGGATAAGAACAAAAGATCGTATCTAAAAAGCTGACCGAGGGTCTTCAGAGACTGGGAAAAGAACACAAAAGAGTGGATAGAACTAGGACGTAGGACGTACCTATAATGCCGAGGGTCTGTAGATCCTGTCTCGGGAACTGGAACTTCTCCATGCCGGCGCCTCTGTTCCTGATGGCCATAGCGGCAGTCACGGAGGCTGTACCCGTGGCAGAGGCTGATGAGTGGGACGGGTGGGAGCTCATTGCTGAGCGGTTAGGGGGTTGGAAAGGAGGGCACAGATGAGTTTAGTTTTTGTAAGAATTTTACGGCACTTGCAACACTATAAGGTCATATAAGTGCCGGAGATTAGAGGTGTTTCAAGAGAGTACAAAACATAAAAAAGGAGTAGAGGGGATCGAGATCAGGACGATAGGTGTTTGATAGGAAAGAAGGAGCAAATTACACTAGTTATTGTTAACTTGCTCGTTATGTTTGTTTGTTTGAAGTTGCCAAATGTTTTAAGGGATCTCTTTTCTTCTTTAAGACTGTTTTATTGGTTTTTAAAATTGAATTTACTTTTTAAAACCCTCCTATTTATTCCTATATCTGAATATCTATTAGCAGTTCACTAATCGGTCTGTCTGTCTGTTGCTAGTGTGTTGGAGGAAGAGGAGGAGTAGGAGGAGAGATGGGGAAGTAGAGAAAAAGGAGGAGGAGGAGGAGGAGGAAGAGAGACAGAAAGTGGAGAAAAAGGAGGAGGAGGAGGAGGA